AGCCTCCAGAGGCTCTGCGATCGTCGTATTCGGAGTCGAAGTTGCCATGCCCGAGTCCTGCACAATGAGTGCAAGCAAGTCACTTCGAAATCAGCACAATGTCACAAGCCTCCACGGGCTCTGCCCTCATCATGAGCCCCGAAGCCGGAGCCGAATCTGCCACACTCGGGGCCTGCGATGATTAGATAGGGAAACATGCCGAGAAATGAGTGCAATGTTGGAGGCCTCCACAGGCTGAGCCAGCGTGAAATTCTGCCCCAGCATTGTCTTCTGCACGGAGGTGGCAACATACGTCTGTGCATAGATCGGCTGAAACGTGAGCGCCCCCGAACACGAAGAGGAAGCTTGCGGGTTTGATTCGACAAAGGCCACATCATCTTCATCGGACACAGAAACATTGCCCCGGCAATCAATATCAACCATGCTCAGCGACATGCTTGGCAAAGCGACTGAGCTCGGGCACAAGAAACTCTGCAAGCGACAGGCATCATAGCAAGGTCGAATCTATTCAGAAAGCATCAGCATTTAACCAGATGTTGCCCCTTTTCTTTCCAGAGAACTGACAGGTGTTCCTCACCCCAGAATGGCCCAACGCAGACAAGGCTCAGCGACTTCGTGTAACAATCGAAACTATGGCAAGCTGGGACCAGCAACTGTCAGTGCCGCTGTCTATTTTTATTACCCGGCAGCTGAAACCTTGGTGCCAAGTCTCACACTTGGGGCCTTTGCATCATGAAGGGTGGTTTCAAAAGCAAAGCGAGAGAAACAGGCTTCAAAATCCTGCAGACTAACCTGCCATGGTCGTGGCGACTCGAATATGTTGTGGACGGCACAGCTCGCATATGTCTGAGTCGGCTTATCGACCAAGCATGCCATGGCAGCGATGTCGTGCATGGAAAGCCGTGTCTGCACAAAGCGGTCTGAAATATAACACGGAAGCAGGCCAGGTCATTTCGCAAATACTTAGTTCTCGTATATGTTGCTAGCACTCAGAACAGACGCTTCGCAAGCATCTCAGATCAACCGCTTCCGCTCGCCAGCTTGCAATGTCAAGGCGGAGCCCAAGTACCAAAGCGGTTTTGCCGCCGCGACGTGCCTNNCCGTTCGGTTTCCATACGAAATGTTGTCCTTCTCGCGGCTCCACTCGAAGCCTGAGCAACTGCAACCCGAAAGTTTCAGAACCATGCAGGCCCACTTTTGCAACAGAAGGCAGTCCGATGCTCTTTATGGTAGAAACTCGGAGCCAAGCGTGTCCGGCATGTTGCCCTGAACTACTTCTGGCGGCCGCTCTGCAACATGGCCAGAGACGGCGATGTCCATGTGACCCATCCGTTCGATCTTCTGGACCAGCTGCAGCAGGGTCATCAGCTCGCTGTCGCTGCCTTCCTCCTCAAGTTTCACATCTTGAATTGGTTTTATGCATGTTGACGTGACAGATGATGCATGCAACAAGGCCCCATCCTCCAGGACGACTTGCACGGTGCACGAGTTGAACTTCCAAGCAATCACTTTCTCCGGTGTTTCCCGAAGCGCGGTCTCTGCTTTGCCATCCAGCAGCCAGGAGCCCGCACCATATGTCAAAAACGGGATTGTCCCAGGGATCGTTGCCTCACATGTGGCAGCGACCCACAGCTCATACTTTGCTGCTTTGCCCGTCTCACCATCATAGTCTGCCGGCTCCACGACATAGCACGTCACACCCTGAACTCCTGCGAAGGCGTACTTTGCCTTGACCTTGCTTTCCGAGAATTGTGGGACATCCGGGAAAATCGAGGTCCAGTCCACTTCCGGGATCGGTGTCTCGCTGGCACCGGTCTGGGGCGGGGCTGAGACTGAGCCCGCTACTCCGTAGCAACGGTCGAAATCCCTCAAGATGTCCTTCCACTCGGGGGCCCTCACCGGATCCCCGAGGAACATTCCTCTGATGTCGCGAGGAAGCGTCAGGGCATTGTCATGCAAATGGCAAATCTGGAAGCTTGGAGCGTCTGCCTGCAGCGGCAGGTTCGTGGGCTCGGGGACAAAGCTCGGGCGAATCTTGTCGAAGGGTGCGGCTGCCTGCTTCCACAGATTCAGGCAGATATGCTTGTATGCGCTGCAGCCAGTCCTCGGTTACTGTGACCCTGAGTCTGTCTGCCAGCTGATAATTATTGCTTGTCTGAAAACGCCGAGTTTCTGAAAGGCCCGATTGTCATCTGCGCAACTATAGCTTGTCATAGACATGTCCAGGCATGCAGCCTCCACACATCCATCGAAGAGGGAACAGTGCACGACCACGGTTCGCTGTCTCAGCGGTAGGTCATCACCTGAGGGATGCAGGACAGGCCGGAGTTCATCTCCGGGGTTGTGTTGGGTTCCTACGTAATGCCGTAATTCAGAGGAATGACCGACCAAGCGTTGAAGGATGCATGCGGGGAGGTCTTTGCCGCCCATCCACTGTGCGGTCTCCTGAAAATCCGTCAAGTTCCTTCTCCCCTCGTGGCTGGTTGCAGCACTGAGGGTCACATAATCGGATTCTGCAAGTTGCTTGGGTCGAGCGCCCAGGGTTTGCCTGGTCCAGAGAGCACTGGAACACCATTGATTCACGCTTGTCGGATCGACTTTTTCCGAGACACGTGACACTTTGTGCCCCGTGCCCTTGCTGGGAAGGGTTGCATCAGAGATGCACAACAGGGCCATATAAGCCTCTGGGCAACTGCTGTTGGCGTGAATGTTTGCAGAATCCATCACCACGTGAAACGGGCGGAAGTCCAGGTTGTGGTGCAGCAATTTGTCTTCCAGGCGCCTTTCGAGTTTAAACTTGCTTTAATGCACAATGCGGCACATTCCAATGACAGTGGTACTGCGCCTCACGTCGGCACGAAGCGACCCCGCCCCGCTGGCCGACGCCAGAAGGGGCAGCAGGACGACGATGCATGTTCCTTACGAATGTCAGATTGAATCTCGGCAGTGCATGTGCCACGCGGCTTCTTTCTAATACTATACATGAGGCCATGTTTCCAAGGGGGTTCCTCGCAACCAATTTTTCAGCCCAATTGGCGATCTTGTCGATGTCCGTCTGCAGCAGGATCCCGAACTTTGTTGCGTCGATGTAGCCAATGACGCGAAGGTTGGAGATAGTCTGCGAGGTCTTAGTCGCCACGTTCTTCATGAAGATATCGAAGCTCGGAGGGAGAACGAGGTCCGTGGTGGCCACCATGAATGCCTTGCTCTGCATGTGAGCGTCCACAAGCCTTACTCACATCACACGCATGCGAATGAAAAGCGCAGCAACAACAGGATTGTGCCATCTCTTCAAAGTTTAAAGCTCAAGTCAGGTATCTTTTTGCCAATCGTCTCCTGCTCCTTGTGGTGCATGACAGTCAGGACGTGCCGTTGGGACTCGATTCGAGAGCGAGCCATGTTGTACTCTGTCATGGTCTTGCTGTCCGCCGCAATGCGAGCCTTGACTTCTGCAAACTTGGCCTTCGCCGCCGCTTCCTCGGCCTCTTGGAGGTCCATGGACATTGAATCCTTCAAGGCGGCTGGGACGGCCGGCCTGTCGACAAGCTCTGCCCACACCTGCAAGCCCTGCAAACGGAAGCACTCGTTCTTGCTTGCCGCCGCAACTGTCACCTCATCGAAGTAATCCCTGAGCAAGGCGAGGCATCAAATGCAGACTGGTCAAGACACACTATCAGCATCATGTCTAGAATAGCATCCAGCACCATCCAATTCTGAATTCAGAGGCGAGTCTTGGCAAAGAATGCCGAGACCAGTGCAGCATCAATCTCCGGATCACTCTTCAGGAGCTTGGAAGCTTCCCTGACAGAGTCCATCAGGGTTGCATAGTCCACCAGCTTCTCGAAATCTGGCGGTGACAAGCGCAGCTTGGTCCGAGCACTCGCCTTCAACCGGCGACCACCCTTCTCGAATTGGCGGATGTGCAAAGCCATGAGCATTTCTTGGCCTCGGGCCTTCACCACCAAGTGCGGCTTCACTGCCTCGGCCGTGTTCTTTCTCGTCGCCCCAAGCAGCCAGCGAGAGCTTTTCATCTGTTCGGTAGACAGTGCACTCTCCCGCCACTTGTAGAAGTTCAGGTGGATGGCCATGATGTCGCGGGTCTCCTGTCGGCCCCCTTCCAACCGACCCTGGTGAACCCCTATATGCGAGGCGACGTTTCTCTGACATCTTACAGTAACAGTGGCTTAAAGGCTTCAGGGCACTCAACTCCCGGACTCCTTGGTTGTTCCAGTCAATATGTTCAGGATGGATCTCTTTTTGTCGTCATCGAGTGAATGCTTGACATTGAGGTCACTGCCCTTGTTGAACTGCTCAATGGCAGCTTCCAAGCGAGCCTCGGTGCTGCCTGTCACGGTAGTCGCCTGCAATTCCATAACCCGCGAGAACCGCAATGCCATTTGCAGGATTGTCGGGGGCTGCCGCTCCATCCCTCTGAAGCTCAGGGCCATGTTCCTGAAGTTTTGCTTGATTTCGGACATGTCCAGAGCTACCTCAGGCACAACGTGTTAAGGGCAGAAGATGAGAGCCAAAAGCAAAGGCGTGTGCACCCTTTACTTTATCGAAGGCATGCCACATGCATGGGCAGCAGCCAGCAGTTCTGGATGACATTGACCATAGGACGGAGCTTATCCCAATCTGTGTCAATATCCACCTCCACGAGGCAGCACAGGATCCAAGCCACGCAGCTGGCTCGTGTCCATCCCTTCACGCAGCGGACTGCGCCGAAGGTCAGGTTCAGAGCTCCGCCTCCTCACTCAGACAAGAAAAAAAGGTGACAAGTGCTTGAAATTACATGACATGTCACGGGATGGAACCATGTTCAATGTCAAGGTGCCCGGGCATGCCGTTGCATAGTCGATCTCGGAACTTCAAGACCGTTAGCACTTCAAGGCAAATTTGCTTTCATCTGGATCTGCTCGACGAGTACATTCATTTCCAAGCAACACTGACGTCCAGCGGCTCCCTTCCCAGGTCGATGCCGGATCCCATCATACTAAGGAATGTCGTTGTCCAGGCGTCGATGCTCGGGTATCCGCCAACGGGCGGGGTCAGCCTGACGACAAAGAGTGAGAAATATGGTACATGCACATATCACAGAATCACGAACAATCTCGACTCGACTGGCACTAGTGCAATGTCCGCCTCAGGCACGCCAGTGGAAGTTTGATCGTGGTTCCGGCGGAGGAAGCATCGATCGTCTTGGCATTGGTTGAACGTGCAAAGCATGCTGTAGAGAACAAATGACAAGCTCTGTGCACACAGGGGAACGGGACTGAAAGCTGGGCCCGTGACAACATCTCCAATACTCTTGAAGTAGATCGGGTCCACACCGAGCTTCGTGGTGAACTGCTGGAACCAAGATTGCATGTGGCCGAGGAAAGAGGAGCTGTCCGGGCCCTCGAAGCGGTCCACGACACACTGGACTGGATGTGCACCGGAAAGATTCGTGTCTTGACCGAAGTTCAAAACATGCCTGATCATGTCCTCAGCGCAACATCTGGCCCGGCCCACTAGAAGAAGAAAATGCCTGTCTGGAACTGAAGTGTATGCCTATTCACTGCAGGTTTCGCGGCACAGCGACAGATCACCTGCAGGGAGCTGTTTCAGCTTCTTCTCCATGTCTGTCGCCATCTTCTTGCTCGCTCCAAACAAGTTTTTCTGCTCCGCATCCTCATCCTTCTTCGACTCTGAAGGTTCCGCTTTCGCGGTCTCGTCTTTCTTAAGCGAAAGAGCCGCTGCAGACAAGAACGAGTTCGCCATGATATGGCAACCGGAATGATTGCAAATCGTCTTGGGCCCGACTGGTCCATGAAAGCGCATGTCAGCATTCCCAGCAAAGTTCAGGCACATGCATACGGAGCTTCTGCAGAGAAAAACTCGGCTCACGACCAAAGAACGCACAAGTCGTGGGGCCACCTCAGTCCGAACTTGCACGCAATGTAATGCTTCATTGTGGGGATCGCAAATCAATGCACGTCACATTTCTGAAAAACAAAAATCAATGCACCCCGGCAACACTGAACCCAAGAATCAATGCACCCGGGACAGGCCCAACACAGAAATCAATGCACCCGGGACCGAAGGAAGGCGAAAATCAATGCACCCGGGACAGGCGGAACACAAGAATCAATGCACCTTCTGCCGGAACGTGCGTTGATTTCTCAGAGTCAGACACATGCCGTGCG